TTTAACAGCTTAGTGACTTAATACACTATGATCTTTAAAATAAAGCCTCTGATGCATAATTCAAACTGTCAAATAGCTTATTAAATAGTTTAAACAAACCTTCCTCCACTGAAATATCAGTTAAATACTAAGTACTTATCGCGATAACTAAGGTCTGACATTAATACATTATCCATTCCTCATGGATATGCCCCTGCAGGTTCTCCCTGTAGTCACAGTGATGGAAAAGAACGAGATTAACGCATCTTTGAATGTCTCATTTCACCTTAAAAAACTCTGAGACAGCTCAGTTTTCAGTCAAAACCAACATTTCACTTCCTTACAGTTCCTTTGAAATCCTTTCATTTGTTTTTAATGAGTCCCCTTTTCCATGGTTAAGTTAATGTTGTGACCTTTGATCTACCAGAAGGTCCTTATTTTATTTATTTTTTAAAGCAAGGGTTAAATTCAACAGCAAGTAAAGTGCTCTCATCGTAAGACTGTACAAAGGTTCAAAATAAAAGCCTAAAATTTTTTTTTTTTATTAACGGGAAAAAATGGGATTTCGAATATTAAATTAAAAATGTGATTAATTGCTATTAACTGTTGAAATTAAGCAATGAATCGCTATTGAAAAAATGTAATCATTTGACAGCCCTACCAATAATGTAATACCTGACAGTTCAACATTCAAAGAGGCCATATTTAAGCATTATGAATATTGTTTTTTTTTTTACTTTTTAATGTACAAATTGCATATCACTTTAACTTGAAATGTTAAGAACTTGACTGTGTAATGATCCACCACTGATTTTAAGCTATCTTTAAATACATTATTTAATGTGAGATATCATCAAACAGGATCAGTATTGTCTATATTGTTCTTTTTATTTTGTAACAGACATGAAGTGCACAGAGGACTGGGCCATACTGTATTTTCTGAAGTCTGACACTGAGAAGTCTCCGAGATTTTCAGGTCTTTGTGTGTTTGGCATTGAGTGGAACTGCATTTGTCTTAATGATCGTGCTCCTTGAGCTGATTTTTGTTTCACAATAATCAATATCGGAGTCGCTGGTGGCAGCAAAGCCCAGAAAGGGGGAGTAAATGTAGAGAGGCATTCTTCCTCTGCTTCGGCCTTGTCAATGTTACAATGCTTTTAGAGTTTGGCCCTGAGCGTCTAAACACACTCTCCATCACTCTTGAAATCCTAGTGGGCCACACTTGGCTGCTATTGTAACTTAGATACAGTCTCAATTTGTATGTTGTCTCTCGGTAGACACAGGAAAAATAAATGGATTGATCTCCCGTCCCAGTCCAACTGTTACAGCGCATCTGTTTCCAGACAGGATTTATAAAAAAGTGTCACAGCTGACAAATAAACAGGTGTGGTTACAACTACTGGATTAAATTGTTACTGTACCTGAAAGATATTTTCATTTGACATAACACGAAAACACAGCTTCAAAACTCAACTGTCTTTGTCACCTCTCATAGAAGAAGATGAGAATTATAAAGGGAGGTTTTTTGTGTTTATAACTGACTACTAGTCACAGTGAATGGTAAAGATAAAATCATTAGAATGAAGAATAAGAAAGAGGTGAAAGTATCTTGTCAATCATGTTGCCTGATTTTCAATACAATCAATTCTTAGATCTATTTATTAAAGCCTAACACAATTATTTCATGTATACACTATAAAGCAACCTGTTTCATAATAACTGATGAAATCATATCTACAGAAAAATAATTGCAATATATATTTTTGTATGTTAGACAGCGTTTATTAGTTTAAGGTTTGTTCCTTTTCTCAAGCATGTTTTTATTGTTTTATTGATATGTCTATACTTTTGAGTAAATACATTGGAATAAAAAAATGGTCCAATTCTTTGTATGTTTGTACAAATCTTACAAATAAACGTTAACTCTGGATTTGCTTCTGATAATTTCCTTTTTCATAATATCAAACCTTTAAAAAAAAGAGAGGCAAAATACCCTACGATGGACTTTCAAACCACCGACTGGCTCAATCTCACTGCAGAGTACGTCCAAGCATCCAAGTTCAGCATTGGATGCTCAGACTGGATATGTCAGTCATGCTCAACATTGGAATTAGGCTACATTTCTGGCTTTGTTTTTGTAATCAGCTTTATTCAGATTGTGGTCCAATGAAGCACAGGCTGGGTGTGAGAGGCGTTCAGCCCCGTTTGGCCCCTCAGTGACCAGAGAGGAGGTGATAAATGACTACAACACTCATCGCTGTCAGCACTGGGAGGGGTGGGGGGGGCAGCCCTCCTACGGTGAGCTACATCATCCTAACAACATTATTCTTTTCATGCGGCTTGTCGATAGAAGCCCCACGTGATTGGCATGGGGATCCGCTCAGGTTAATTGGAAGCCTGAACTGTGTAACGGCACGGGAAGCTGAGCAGACATTGTCCCCCTTGTAATAACACAGGAGGCCTGTGTGTCTGTGTATCGATTACATCTTAGGTTCATGGCACCCGTATGGGAATGAAATATCAGAGGACGGGTTATGGATGTTGCCATCAATGGCACTGAAGGAGCGGAGATGGACCACTTGTACCGAAGGAAAAACCCCTTAATGAAAGCTTAAAAAGTTTACATCATAATGGCTTTGATCAACATGCTTTATACTCTAACAACTCTGATGTTGTTCTAGAAGTAACACTTAAAGTTAATGGAAAAGATCTGATTTATACGCGAAGTTTGCACCTGCTCTGTATGTGACAGGTGTATTTGCCCTCATGTCTGACCCCCCACTCTTTAGTTTCCTTTTGATCAAAGGCCCATAGCTTGCATTAGATGAGGGACACATGATACCTCATATACGAGGTAACCTAACACACACAGCTCCCTACTTGGAAGCTTGCAGTCCTATAGACCAGGCCACCTCGGATAGTGGTGAGATTAAGACGACAGAGTGAGTGACAGTGTTAATATGCAGGAGAGAAGTTGAGTTTTTTTCAGCTATTCTCAAAGATTTCTATAATGCAACTTGAAACTGCATCTACAGTGGCCTTAATGAATAACTAACAAGTTAGTAGTATTAAAGCACATACAAATCTAAAAATGATAAGTGAGGAGTAGGAATTTGTAAGATCATTTAAGTTTCTTTTAACTTTCCTGAGAATATATGAATTGGGTGTTGTTAAGCTTGGACATTTCGATTAAACAACTTATCCTGCCAGCTAATCAAAAGAATAGTAATAAGTCAGATATCTGGCTGTTCATACCAAGCGGCAAGCTAATGCAGAAGTGCACAAAAAGTGCAGATTGCACAATGCCCATCTTTACAGTAAATAAACAGCCTGGTTCAAAAAACTATTTGGTATCAATAGCTCTTCTTCTTAATTGGTTCACACTTTAAGGGAGCTCATCTGATTTGATTTTATGAAGCCTAACAGTTATTCATTCATTTTCAAATTAAGGGGCAAGACTGGGTTGACTGACAGTTGTGTTGTTTCTGTTTGCACATCAGCTCTACCTCTTTGTTACTGACCTGACCAAAAGTTAAGTAAAGTCAACATTTCCTATTTGGCGACCTCCATCGTTCAGTTTGAAAACGCCGCTTTAGAAAATCAATGGGTGACGTCATTAAGGTTACATACATGTTTTAGACAGTCTATGGTTCACATCCAGTGTTATGTGGGACATCCATCAGGAAGCATTGAATTCTGTGAGGGACTTGGTGCCAAGTACTGACTTCAGTTATCAGTTTTTCAGTTGGTGTGTGAAGCATTGTTGCAGAGTTAAGCTCCATAAAATCATTGCATCAGCTAATGCTAAAGTCATCATTAAGCACTATATGGATACAAATGAGTTAATCTCAGCCAAAGTTGCATGCTTACTGCTAATTATGGTAGCAAAGAATTTTGTAGTTAGCATTCAGTGATCAACTGAGATGATGAATAGCAGGGGTTTTGTTTTATCCAATAAGTCTTGATCATATGACTGTTACATTATTAAAGCTGTACAAAGCTGACTATGTCCTACATGGTTGTAGTTTGCAGAGATGTATTTCAAAATGGGATTGGCTTATGGTCTAAAAAGCATAGTTATCTATTTCATGGAACTTTTATTATAACGTTTATTGTTTCAGTTATATTTTTGCCAATGCTCTCTCTACTCTTAACTTAAATATCATTGACACATTTTCCATAGTCTTTGAAAGACGAGACAGACCAACTGTAATTTACTCAAACCTTTGTTGTAATGCTCTACTTTAAAGCAACCTGTCAGGTTTGGAGTCTTCCCAGACTCTTATTCTTATTATCACCTCCATCATTCCAGGTGACACCTTGATGCATTGTTCAGTGACCAAGGTAAAGGGTTTGATGCCATAACTCAAGAAATGTTGCTTATTAATTCAGAAATTAATTACAAACACAAAGTGACATTTTACAAGAAATGTTTAGCATAGCATGAATTATCGCTGCTGTAAATTGGATGCACGCAACGGACTGCAAAGCCTTGACTTGAGCTCTTTGTGATTAATAAAAGAAGCTTTCACTTCAGTTTTGAAGCCAGTCATGAATGAACGATATGACGGGATGAAACTAAACTCCTCCTCCAGCTGAAGGACAAGCTGTTTTAAGGGTTGATGTACATTTAAAAAATGAAGTACTAGATTAAAAGGAATCAGGGCCCTCATTTATTGCATTTGTTTTCCTGTCAGACAGTTCAGTGACTTATAGCCAATGAAGGATGTAAATAAAGATGGAGGTCAGACGTTATTTTGAAGTAGATTACAATTGCTGTCTTTTAATATGCTAGACAACTCAAAGTTTTCTTTTCTTTTGCTGATGATTTCATTATTGTTTGACATTTTGTCATAGATGAAATGCCCGCATTAGCAACTGCACAGCTAGGCAATGACTTGGACACCCTCACTCTGTTCTGTGCAACACAAACAGGAGGTCCGGCTCCGTCTCCTGTGGAGCAGAAGATCTGGATTCTACATGAGTGACTGAGACACAGCTTCCTCCATCCTGCCTCTCACAGCCCTCTCATAGAGCCCCACAAGGCCCACCACGTGGCTCTCAGCGCTGAGGTCCAGATTGTGCCACTGGGCCGGTACCGGACTGGAGGTGGCCGATGGAGCCCCAATCCATCTCCCGCAGGAGCCCGGTGACGGGAGCATCGGTTGCCCACTCCTCGGCTCCGAGCACACTCAGGAAGATGGATTGGTTGGCCAACTCACCAAAGGAGGCAAAGCATGCCGTTAAGAGCCTGTGCATCACTTGGCTGCTCATATGCAAAGTTTGATGAAAGAGGTTTTTCTGGGAGCGATGAATTAGGGCTCCGCTGTGAAATTAGATTTCTGGCGAGAACCTTGCAAGGTTTAGAAGTAGCATTGTTTTCTTGACTGCCGTCTTACAAAATGGTAATTGTGAAGCGAAATGCTGGGAATTCAATGAAATGATGAATGTCTGAATTGAAGAACAAATATTAAGTTAAAGAAAAGTGGGTATTACTGGTATGTTCAATGGAGAAATAAAAAAGAAAGAAAGAAGAAAAAGCAGCAAAAAATCAAAGGTGATGACTTTAAGCAACAGTACACTTGATATTTTTCTCTATTAATAAGGTGGTATGAGTAAGCAACAATTGTCAGCCATTGTTTAACCATGTTATTTATACTTCAGCTTTGTTCACCATGTGAGGGGAGAAATGATAAGGAGTCATACAACAAACAACCGGAGAGCAGATGAAATATTCCCCTCTGATGAAATAAATCTTGTGGAAAAATTGTCTCATCTTCAGAAATAGTCCAAATTGCTCGGCAGTTTAGCCCAATACACTTAGGATCCCGCCTTCTCCTCCTCCTCCTCCTCCTCTCTATGACCCAAACCTAAAACGGCAGCATGAGCACTGACAAATTTGACAAAGGGAATTTGCTCAAAAAACACAGCCTCTATTTGGTCAGCCAAGCGGCAAATATGTCGGATGATATGGTTTATTAGGCAATCCATTTCTCCACAATAGTGGGGCCATCTGCAAAGGTTAGCGTGCATAAGGTTCGAATGGCAAATTCTATCTAATCTGCCTTCGAAGGGCCCGTCGCGAAAACTCAGTGGCACATTTTTCATGTACCTACGATTTGGAATGCAAATAGAATAGCTGATGAAAGAGGTGACCTTCTAAGTGCAGAGCAGCGCGGGCTTGTGGAATATGCAGAGGCGGAATAGAATAGAAAAGAATGAGTTACTGCCACTGCCACCTCAGCTGCATTGTAATATACGACTGTGGCTCAGATACAAGTGAACCCGGCCTCAAGAACATCTAGGTTAATCTCTGAGGATGGCACATCATGTACTCAGTGCAGAAAAATAGCTGGCTCGCAGAATTATTTACCTTTGTGCAAAGAGAAGGGCCTCCAATGTCAAACCAAATCCCTCAAAAAGAAAGTATTTCATATTCTTTACCGTACATGAGCATTATATTAAAGTTAATTGTGTTTTTACATTGATATTAGATAAAATATTAGGCAATATAAGCCACTGCACCACTATTCCTGTTTTACATCACCGAGTTAAATTTGGATTGATGCCCTCATTGTGCGCTTTTTGTAATAAATAGCAGCATTTATGGAACATTTAGTGGCCAATCCAGTTGACTGATGCTCTAACATGCTCAAAATCCTACTCAGAATGAAAGTTGGAACGAGATATTCCACGATACAAAGGTGAGACTATATGTCAATAGGGTGGTGTATGTACTTCTTTGTCATGCCTGGAACAAAACTTGAACACATAGACAAATGGGTGAGGTGCACCATGGTCATCCAGCCGTGCATGTCTCATCTGTAGCCAGCTTTGGCAGAGTAGTCATCTTCATTCCCTTTGTCCTTACTGCAGTAGGTAATCTATCAGCCGCGAGACGTGCAGGAGAGTCCGGCTGGCCTACTCGCGCTCCCATTTGAATTGAGAAACCCAGTTTCTGCTTTACCCCTGGTCCCAGTTAGACCGAGCTGCAATTGAGAGTGAGTGAGCTGTCCTTGATTCATATTACTGTCCCCGTATGATTGAGCTTCTTTGGTATCGCTGGAGAATGGAGCGAAAATTGAGCACTTTACTTTGCAGGGTTGAAATCCCAGTACTGCATGTATGCATTTTCTCAGGGTTTTCCACGGGACACGCTTGAGCTGCGTTCTTTATGTAGTGCTCAATGAGACGGATGCAGAGGACTATTTAAGGTGGTATTTGAAAGTTAGCAACAGACATTGTTGTCAAAAAAAGTGTTGTTTACAATAGTTAGCGATCAGTCACAGCTGTTTGATAGGATAATGCTGACTATATTTCATGTCTTCTATATTGTCAACAATTTCAAAGAAATAACCAAAACAAGTAATACGTTAGAGCTTTCAATGGCCCATTGAAACACATTTAGCAATTTATTGGGAGCATCTCACGCTATGGATTCACACACATTAAGCATGACACTGAGTTTTCTATGACAACAGAACCAAATATTCTATTTAGTGGGCCAAGGTTTTCAAATATTCAAAAAGTCATAGATTAAAGAAAATGTTTTTAATTGTTAATGTGTCTTTTATCTTATATCTTTAAACTATTTTTGTCTCTTTTATTTTGACCAGCGCCTGCTTGTAGTGCAGTCATACCGCCAGACGGTGGCTGTAGCTTATCTGAGAGCTGTTTGCGAACTGCCTTTTATTTACAAAAGAAGAAAACATTAATGTCTGGTGACCCAACTGCAGCCTTTCAGACTATAGAGGTATTTTACTTAATTACTATTGTTAACTAAAATAAATAGTTTCTCAAGCTGTTGACTCATTAAAGGCATTTTCTATTTTCTATTAGCTTCAAGCAAACAAACTCAGTGGTAATTTTGAAATAGTAATTTTTCTTGAGTTGCACATCCCTAGCATCTGAGATTCTAAATAACCCAAAGCGCCATGGTTCAACACCATATTTCAACAATTCACGTTTTTGTCAGAGTTATATGTGTCGCTAGTATCATCACTTTGACTGTTGTTGCTGTCTGTATGTTTCCCTTACAATCTGTGTATCTCTTTCTAGCTCTATCCTGTTTCTAAAATGTTGGTATCTCTAAACACAGAGTAAGACATGGTACATAAGCAAAGTGTTATGGAATAGCTTTTGCTGTGATTCGGCGCTGTATAGAATAATTACTGATCAATTGTAAGGTAGTGCAATGGCAGGACTAAATGTGGCATAAAAATAAAATGATAGAGGGGATAGAGGAATTAAACTCAACACTTCAAGTAGGGCCACTTCATTGTTTGCATTGACGTAGACCCGAAATTTGTTAAAAAAAAAAAAGGTTTTTCTTTTAATTATGTGAACAGTAAAACTGGAAAAGGACACACCTTTTCATCTGCATCTACAATATGTCATTAGAGAATGAATGCATGTCTAGGTTTACCAAAGCACAAACATGTATTTATATAGAGAGAGAAATAGAGGGCAGTACTACTCGTGCAAATTCCTGCCTGTTGTCGATTAGGGTTAAAGAAGTTAGCTATTGCAGCACGTCATGTGGTCTCATGCTGTGTAAGCCAAGAGAGTGTCTCTCTGTTGATGATTAAATCAATAGAGATTTGACACAGACTTGTGGGAACATGCCTTGTCTTATTTCAGCCAGTTCCTCCCCTCCTGGTTGGCTGTGGGGCGCGGGGGGGGGGGATTCACCACCTGACTGGTCTCTGTCACCTGATGGAGATCGGCCCCTTAGCCGCGGTGTGATAGAGAGAGCCGATTATGATGCATGTCGATCGTTCCAGCAAATATTGACATGGAAACACTGAGAGAACAACCCCACGGCTCATAGCTCTTTCTTCTCGCCAACTCTGCACCGCACAGACGCACACACACAAAAGATAACGCGGCTACAGTTTCAGGACATTTTTATAAATACACACACAAAGATGCCCAGAAACCAATCATCCTAATCGATGGTGTCTCACCAGCGTCTCGAGGAACATCCCAGCTTCATTTATTATTAGTACTCGTGTGCTTATGTGCAGGAGGCTGATTGGTTATTCATGTTTATTTACTTAAGGGTAGAGGAAGAGGCCATTTCCCCTGCCACACCTCTTAACCACCTCCTACTACTCCACAAAGTCATGCTCTTTTTGCACCTGCCCGTGGGATCCAAGAGGGTAAATGATTAAACACAAACTATTTTCGCTGTGAGAATAAAAAAAACTATAAGGCCAGAGAGACCGGGGGAGTGAGAATAAAAAGAGAGGTTGGAGGATGTGTGGAGGAAGAGGGGGAGGGAGGTGCTAATGACAGGTATGTCTGTAAATTCTTCATCCCACATAGACTGCTAGGGAAACTGCTTTGGCAGGGCACTCAACCATGACTTTACAACTAATCCTGTTTGTAAGTTATTATTTATCTTCTGCAAAGTTTGTCAAACTCGGGCTTTGATTTCTCCACCCCACCCCCCCGAGTTCCCTCTCGTGGCCCGCTCCCGCACATGCTCCCCACATAATTTATGACTGCCTCTGGTCCTGATGACAGATTATTAAAAGTAGAATTAGTTTTTTGCTGGGGATTTTTCCTGTGGGAATTGGGAAGGCAGGGCTCTCAGAGGAAGGTCTCTGACGAGGTCTCCATTACTAATAGAGGCAGATTTTTTTTCCCTTCCCTGTGTGATGGCAGAGTGAGAAGACTAATGATTTGAATTTACTGTGGCAGCCATCACGTGGTCTGGAAGCCGGCATCGGAGGAGAGGAGAGGTTAAGTTCTTCCCCGTGGAGAGGTTTATTGGATTGTTTAGCACCAGAAGGATAATGTTTTTGTCGTAGACTGCTGGTGCTTCTGCTGCTTTGCTCGAGGGAGGCCGAGAGCAAATCCTCAACATTTGTGTGTGTGTCTGCTTGGATCAAATGTATGTGAAGATCAGAGAGGAGAAAGGGAGATATATTTGCTTGAGTTGTAGGAGGAGGAGGCAACAAGAAGCTCATTTATTGCAGAAAATGGCTGCAGAAGTTACTATGTGAGGACAGAATTGCAGATATGACTTTGACTGCACCCAACAAACTGATACGAACACTTCTTTCTCTTTCTCTGAAGTCAGTGCCAACTCTCTGATCCTCCCCATCAGCAACTCTTGTGCACAAACGCCACACTTTTCCTCTTTCTGTGCTGACAC